TCGATTGAAAATAATCACAATCATTATGATTTCTAATGGATTTAGTTTGATTTTCAATTTCACGTATTCAGCATGAATTCTAAACAATATTAGCTAGTTTGATCACCCTCAAACTTTCCAGTTACATTTAAACACTTCAATTAAGATCTGATTCACCCTAATTTCAAACCAATGGTGCACATGGGCTCCAGGATTCTGAAGGAACACATGGTGTATGAACCAATCGTTAGTGACCGGCTACCATGGCACTGCATCTCCTTACGTTGCTCCACTGCCTTGTGGATCGGACCTTTAGGTCGAAGGCTCCGGGTGTGGCTCCCTAAGAAAACCATCTGCTTCGGTCTGGGCACACGGTCAATATCACAGCCCATATCAAGTGAAGTGACTTGTATAGCGCATATGTATTCGGTGCTTCTTTGAACCAATATTTATGTGTTCAAATAAATAATAAAGTGGATTCTTTCGTTTCTCATAAAAATGGATATTTATGATTAAATTTATTTGTAGTGATGAAGTTTTTTTTAAAAAAAATGGTGGCTTAGATTTCCCCTTTTATCATGTTTTGATGTTCATCCGATAAAGCGTGGCTCATCGCTTCAGCTAGAATAAGTTTGGTTGAAGATTAGTTTTAAGCTTTCATGTTGGACTTTCCTATTCAAATTTTAAAATAAATAATAGTATATTTCTGCGTTAAAGTTTTTGGAATTAAGTTTATCCATCTTCAAGTGTAAAATCAATGTACGAGAAAGTGAATGTAAATTATATTACTTTCAAAGTGGTATAATGTATTTAATGAAGAGTGTTTAGTAAATGTCCATTTAATACTTAGTTCGGACAAGCAGTTCTCAATAGAACGCTCTATCTAGCGTGTGTAAAACATTGTTCATTCACTTTCGGCAACAAAGCTTTATGTCATTATCTGAATAGCTTCTCCATTACCTATCACTCGCGGTTACCCTCACTATCACCTAACAAGTTATTTCATGACATACAAACAATTCTTTGAAGGCATCTATGACCAAATATCTCTCCTATATTTAAGACTTACAGACTTAAGGTAGCGAATTAGGATTTAAAAAATTACTAGCTGTCTTTTTTGTAATACCTTATCATTTTCATGTAAGCTGTATTTGCAATGAATCCACTCAACTAAGCACTTATTTAAAATGGGTTATCTTCTTATATTTCTTGCAGTCGAGTTTTAATGGTTGACGCTGGTGGTCAACATACTGTTATGCTAGCTTGCTCTGCTACTCAGCCAAAAGTGATTGATACTGAGGCAGATATTGTGATGGGTGATTCTAATCAGCTTCCAAATGGGACGAACAAATCTGAAGTCGAAAAACATGATGAGGAAATGTCAGAAGTGATGTGTGGCCCACTTTCTGATAATAATGTAGAGCCACATCAGCAAAGTGTAGAATTATCCAAAAATCTTAAGATGTGTGATTCTTCCGCTGATACATCAGTAGAGCGTATTTTGATTCCACCTATTGGACCTGGTGCCCCACAAAGCAAGCGAAACCGACGTGCAAGTCCTTCGTCTGTAACTGGAAGTACCGGGACGACGTTGTTAACTCCTGTTGGGTTTAGTTGTGAAAGTACAACAGGAAGTACAGCAGGGGCCACAATCAATAGCAGCGTTCATAGTTCTGCTGTTTCTGATACTTGCTCCGTTGGATCATGTGCATCGACAAGTAGTACAAGTAGTCAGTTGAATAGTGCTAAAAGTACCGATGGTGGTGGAAGTAGCCGATGTAGTTCTTTTGACAATTACAGTGTACAGAGTAGTTTATTGTTAGTACCATCCACAGAAGATAAATCCCGTAAAGGTACATGATACCCTGTCCTTATTTTCAGTATTTTAAAAAATCTACTTGGTATTATTATTTTCATTAATCCCTAAGGTTATTCATGATACGTAGTATCAATTATAGTCATTTTTCAAACTGCTCACATTTATTTCATCTCTAACCTTGTGGTTATACATATTCATCGTCTTTTAGTTTACTGTTTTTGTGGAGAATTTCCATACTAAATTTATCCCATGTGATGTTTTGTCTTGGTTTTATTTCTAATAATGGTCACAATTTGTAAGAAATTAAAGATGAACTTACTCTTTATGTAATCCATTGTTTCCAGACAACTTTCACTCAAACTATTTCAGGCAACTAACTGATTAACTCACCTATTCGTTTTATATGTATAATGTTTATTTTGTACACTACATCTATTTGTATAATTTAATCTTTGTTAAACATTTGGGAAACTTTAAATATCCTAATGTATACTTTAAATGTTAACCTAAAGTTTGTTTTTGTGATTGCTTGTATTTATGCTTATGTAATTACATTATAATAATAATCCATATTCATTTCAACGTTAACATTACAGTTTTGTAAGTTGTATATAAATATTTTGACTGGGTTTCTTATGGAAGGTTACTTACATAAAGTAAGTTGTGTTTGTTGATGAAGTGGTGTTCATACCTTGAAATCATAACGAAGTTATCTGTATTTCTCTGACGGAGCATCCATCTTTTGTCATTTCTCCAACTGTATACATTCTATTTTTCTATCGTATGTTGATTTTTCTACGGTAGTGAATACTACTACTTCTAAAATCTTATATCTCACCGTTCAACCAAATGGAAATAGTTTTAGTTAGTTTGGATAATTATAGGGGATAATACAGGTTTCATGCATTCACAGACTTCGGCGCATAGGATTTTTTAGATCAAACGGAATTCTCGGTTCTACAACCATTATGATTTTAAGCTAGAATTTTTAGTTTCATTAATTGTCTTGAACTAGATCACTAAGACCAACATCTCTATTTTGTAGTACGGGTACCATTACAGAGTCATCTCATTTTTCTCTTGTCCTAATGAATCCTTTACAATCAGTATTTTTGTGTTTCAAACGTACACAACCTTTTCCAGTGCACCTATCGAATTAAAATCGACCGTTGTCAGTAGAGAGAATTATCTTACTATCAGATAAAGAAACTGTATATGTCCTAATAACACCGATGGGAATCCCGTTACTGCCTTTTGCTCTTGTTAATTAGACTATTACATATTGGTTACTGGTTGTGTGGTTAATACTGCTTTCTTCTGTATTGTAACCTGTTCCAGTGCATTCAGTTTATCTACTCCATCCATGGAAGAAAACTGACGGACAAATGAATGAACTCATGCACAAACATAGCTATATTAGTGAGTATCTGAAACAAACTAATCAGTTCACCTGTAGGTCTCATAAAATGAAATATAATTGTGGTCATAATATCCAATACGAGTAATTTCTTCACTTTGTGCTAGCATGGTTGAATATTAGTTGAATGTGCAATAATGATACTAGATAGTTTTGGCAACAAAGCTAAATAGCGAGTGTTTTCTGAATTTAAATCAAGTGCGAATTATATAGAGAATTTCACTGAGATATCATACCTCATTTCGACGGATCATCTAGTTTGTTGATGAACGGTTAAAATTTGCTGAGAATACGTGTCACGTAAATGTTAGTGTTTTTTAAGTGTATTATCGCAGCTTAAACTGACAAATTATTGGCCCAAACATAATCCTTATGACGTCGATGTTAGACACTAACAGCAACAACGGACCTAATGACATTCTTAAGTAGGTTTGGGCGTTTTCGACATCTTATTTGATGGAAAAAGTCAGTTAGTAATGTGTATCGGTCCACGTGGCCACATTATATTAGCGCAGCGAGGTAAAATTACTAAGGAAAATTATAAAGTGATGGCAGTATCAGTAGTAGTGGAAAAGATTGGCCATAAAAAGAAAAAGCTATAGGGCGATTTCGTGACTGAGGGTTTAAGGGAAACAAAGATTGAAGCACTTACGCCATTAAGACGAATACTGAGCCATGTCACTAAATTTCTAACCACAGGTTATGATAAACACGCGCATGCTAAGCATGTAGTGTTTACCTATTTACATGTCTCAGTCCAGGTGCCAGTCACTATGGTCCAATGCTATGTCTTGGCGTGGTGGTCCCTAGCTTTATTTAAACCTAATCGTATGCTAGACAGCACCTGTCGAGGTTGACGGTAGTGGGAAATACGTAATACCTGTTCCAGCTGATGAAGACAACTGATTTACCATCTCTATTTAGTACCTTGCTCATAACTCCGAAATCTCACACTTGGTGATGCACAAGCGATGCTTCGGACACACCTAGTAAGTAACGAATATTCTCGATTCTTAGTTGGCATGCTTCACATCCATAAGGTCGAACTGATGAGCAGTAAACTTATCCCTTAGTTAGCAGACGGACACCGTCCCTACCCTACAGGTGACGCTGTGGTGCGTGCTACTTATATTGATATAAGTAGTATATGGCGCGAGTCAGGAATGCAATGTCTGGCAGCAGAAGATCAAGAAAACAAGAGCGGGAATAGAATGTAATTTGTATGAAAATGCAAGAACAATGAATTCTGAGGCATTTTGAAACAATTGGTGGACATTTTGCAAATTAATGATTTGATATATGGTTCTTAGATTTTATTGAGATGCTCTGTCCGCACCAGTTTTCTGTTCACTACAACACAAGTTGGCGAAGGTTAACTGAGCTTCATGAATTTTACCGAATATTTCATCAGACACCAACCTACCAAAGTTGAGAATTGCAAGAAACGTTAGGTGGTCGATAAGTGTTGAAGTAAAATCAGTTTTGAAGCAATATTTTGGGCTTCGAGGCAAAGAATCTTCTTCAAAACATTGCATTATTGCTTAAGGCGGTCAGAGGACTATACAGTTTCGCAGCAACTGAGAACAATAAGTAATTAGTAAATGACAAATGAAGCAGCCTGTGTTTATTTATACATAGTTTAAATACTTATCATTCAATGAATAATGAATTGATTATTCAGTCTGTCCAATCAAAACAAGATTAATTTTAAATAAGTACAGTTAAATTTATATATTATGACAAAACTACCAGATAGTTACCCAAAGAATATCATATTATGCATATTCAAGATTCACCTAATGCAGGTATATCTAAATTTTCAACGTCATTTCTTAATGCATCTATAAAATGATTTATTTCCATTACTCTTGCTCTGTTTCGATCATATTTTTCACCGGAATATATGGAAGTAATTGTTTCCTTAATCCATTTTTTCGCTTTTTCATTAATTTCATCCGCGAATTCATCAATTTTAAGTAAATGAGCATCGTTACTGGCTGTTAATGCATTCGTTACACTTTCTTTATCAATAAAAATCTGTAATTTACCAAAAAATAAAATGCAATAAAACTTTTGTTTCAGTGAATTTGTAATAATTGGAGATAAAATATTCTAATTTTTTTTGTAGATATATGGGTATATGACAAGAAATATGCACAAGTGTAGATCGGTTTACTTAGCGATGACATAAAATAGACTTCCCTGAAGCTTTAGTTTAAGAGCAATAATCTATTTAAAATTAAGTAAATTAGTTGTTTAAAAAGTAACATCACACAACTTTTAGCTTATTATATAAAAACAACTAGATCTTACTTTCGAATCCACGGACACCTTCGCAACTTACGATAAACATTTCTTAATGTTTGTTGTTAAACAAATTAAAATTTTTATAAATTTTGATAAGTGCTATTTAACAACTACACTTGAATGATTTTTTCAGACAAGTACAATTCTTATCATCATTATTGATTCGTCTTTTGTTAAAATAATTCCGGAATTTTATGTACCGAATAAACGGTAACATGTTCATATCGTTTTTGGGTACCTATGAACTTGAAAGCTGAAAAATTTAGTCCTACATTGCTTCATAAAACTTTTATTTGATTACTTTGAATACGATAATTTAAGGCTAATGAACTTAAGAATCGTTTTTAAAAGATATTCGTACCCCATGTATTTTCTAAAACTTTTCTTGTATTTCCACCCCATGTTTAACGCTTAGTCAACCAGTGAAACTTGTTAATTTACTGTGTAGTTTTGACAAATGATTTTCAAATGAATCGTTATATAGTTCTCGAATTTCCGAATTAGTTAATTCTCCATATAATTGGTGCCTTTATATATGTATTATCTCTTGACATATGCCTGCTTCTAAGTGGGAAATGATCATATTTAAATGCTGAATCTGATGTGACCTTAACAAAACTACCCACTCACTTTAGTTATCAATATTTCAAGTTACGTTATCAAGTGCTCATCTATTAACAACTGGAACTAATTTCATTCATATATTTATTTTGGTCAATAACATTCATTACGATAGCATCAATGAAACCTCCAGGAAACCATTCGTACTTTAGATACTCCTACCCGCGTGACAAAGTGGGCAATCAATAAGATTTTGCACTTAAGTATTCAAAAGTTGTGCATAAGTTATCGAATAGTACTAATTAACATTCTGTTTAGTCTCCAAATTTAATCGATTTGTCGTCAAAATATAAACAGGCTTGAGATAATGACCAGTAAATTTCACATCCACTTCTAAAAATATCAGTAGTTTGTTTTCCGTCACAACAAACTAGAAGAAAATGAAAGCGAAAATAACTGTTCAGTATAAATAACCATTCTCATGTTTATGAACTAATAACTTACGGCTAAAAGAGCATCTGATGGTTCGCTTTGGAAGTCACTACGCATAAATCGTTCTAAAATACCTGGGCATAGATCTGTCAACCTTTCATGATACTGAGTTTGTAATTCGCGACATTCCGTGAAATGTTCCTGAAAAATAATTGATCTGAAATAAAATCCTTCTATGAAGATAAAAAAGTCATTAGTCAGTTATTGAAGTAAAACAATAAAATCGTCATTTGAAGTTGGTTTTTGTCACAGAATAATATCAACTGGTGAACCATAAAGGACTGGATAACAATCCTAGTTTAGGACTCCAGACAGTGCGCATCCATAGCCTCTTCGAGTTTTGATCTCATTACGTTGACACTGAGTGCATTGCCTTCAGACGACTACGTAAGGGTCAAGTAGTTTACAACCAATGCGCGATATCCAAAATTTGATCATCCAGTGCCATTGGTGGATAAATCCCTCACTCATAAGACCAGAATGCTCTGACCAGATCAACAGTCGTTATTAATCTGTGAAACAACTGGGTGTTGGTGTAAAACAAGTAAATAATTTTCTTGAATTGAGTCCGATAATCGATCATAATGAATTTCTAAAAACCTATTTTATTAAAAGCTGGGATTGGTTGACGATGCAAATGGAAATCCTTTTGGTGATGATGAACGTATTAATTCTTAATAATTCTTCGTTTTATTTCTTCAATTACTTGCATTTTTAACATTTTTATCTGTATCAGTATTAACATTTTCATGTATTCCATTATTTGCATCTTTAATTTCTCCATACTAATTTGTAATATTTTGTCTTATATATATTGGTTTCTTGGAACGTACCGATGATATTTAGGATTTCAGTTGATCGGTTTCTTTTGGCATTTGTGCATCCTGTGCGGATTTCCTTGATACTACCAGTCAGTTACAGGCATTTTAAGCAGAAATGGATTCACGTACACCTAGCTGACGAGTCCTTAATGGGACGAAACATGCATGATGGATTCCACTGCTAGCCATCATCCATCTCTGCTCATAAATTTGTGACCAGTGTTTTTGGAAAGGTTTTATATTTAGCCCTTAGTAAATTCACGCTTGTATGGAAATGAATACTCTTCAGAGGGATATTGGAAAACTGTAGTCGATAAATCTAGTAGATGATAAATTTTACCTGTCAACAAACAGTGATCTACACACAGTGATGATCAACGAATGTAAAAGAAATCCCAGGTTGCTCCAGTATTTAAACCACTCTATCTAAGGCTACTATTTCTTTTCCAATGCTAGCCACCATCCGTTTTTGCTTAATTTGATAATATTCTGTGATAGTTTGAATTGGTATATACACGTTTAATATTCAGCAATTTGCCGCATAATTATTACACCCTTTTGGATATCAGTAAAGCGTAGACGAGTAGCTAAACATATAAGTAAGAACAAGTTCCATCAAAGTATTTTTGGTAGGTATAATTTGTTCGATTTTGCAATAATTTTTATTTTGTTTTATCTTCAGGCAACATCTTAATGAGTTTATATATAATTTGATCCTTGAGAGTTCGACACACACACAGAAAGAAGTCTAAGTTTTCATTCCTCATCACACTATTTATCTGAAATTATGGGAATTGTTATTTTCCTAGAGATTTGAACCTAGATGATTCATTGCCATAATTAAAAGACACTATCACTATACTTTTAAAGATGTCATTAAGAATTGACTTCATGTACGTTGATATTAAGTACTTACTTCAACATTTTCAAGAAATGTACTAATCATATCATTTAAGTTTAATTCAAATTCATTAATTAATTCATCAATTTGTTCAACTAAAATTGATTCATTTCTCATTAATTCATTCCATAATTGTTGCACCTTCTCATTATAATCTAAAATATCATCTTCGACTTTAATCAAATCAGTATTCTCTAAAAGTTCTCTAAATATCTATTTAAAAGAAAATTAAAATGAAAGAAAAAAATAATGTACTGTGAGCTTTATCTTTTGAATAAAGATGCTTTTTCATTATTGTATTATTTTACTAACACTGTAATGGACAAGAACGCAAATGGGGATAACCAGATATATTTAAACATAAAATTACGAAATCTCTTCGTAAGACATAAGAACCATACACTGAATACTTCATCTGTGAATTTCCATCACTTGTCCTTCATATTCTGTATGATTCTTCCAGTTCACAATTCATTTCTATTTTTGTTTCTGTTCCCTTCAAGTTAATCTTCTTAGCCTTCTGCCACTAAGGTTCCCACTTCCTATTGGTGTCACATACTACTTATGTCGACAAACATAAGTAGCATACACCACAACACTCCTTTAATTTTATTACATCAGAAAATACATCCTTAAATTAAAAAATTACAAGGAAATTAATTGTATATGTGTATTGTTTGTTAAAATGTGTTTTTTATGAATTAGAAATTAACATAACTTTTTTATTCACAGAAAGCACGAAGCTTGAGTTAGTAGACATCATTTATATTTCAACAGTTGAGATCATGAGTCAATTGAAGCTAGACCACCATGAAAAACCTGGAAGCACTGGACGGCCGTCCCGTCCTATTGTGAGACTCCTCAGCAGTGCGCGTCCATGACCCCGCCCCGTAGGATTCGGAGCCAGGACCTACCAGTCTCGCACCAGGCGCTTAACCAACTAGACCACTGAGCCGGCATCCAACGGTGTTAATGTCTAACTACAACTAATCCACGAAATTGAGCGACACATCCACCATTGTCATCAGTGAGGTACTACCTCACAACTGACCCGGTTGAACGCCACTGGTCACTGCTTCTCACTAGAACTCTAGGATATACCTCTTGAAACCAGTCACTAGTGAGCATATGTTGATTAGTATCAGAAGGGGTCTTGTGGAGATTGTAGTAATTTCAACAGTTAAGATCATGAGTCAGTTGAAGCTATTTAATCAATTTGGGATTTATACTGATGACCACTGAATAAATCAAATGTTTATTATGCTCTACTATAAGTTAGCTGAAGTTTACTAAATGTTTATTTATTATATTCTAACATACTAGGTGAATCACACCATATAATCAAGGAGATTTCGAAGTTTTAAGTTGATTCAATGAATAATGGAGTTTGAACGAAACAGTTATCCTTTACAAATAGTTTTGAATAATTATTCAAATGATTTCAATACGAGATGAAAATTGTTGTTTATTAGAAGAAATCTTTGTAGTGTAGTGATTTATACCTTGTTATGCATTCATATGCTGAAATCTTCCTATCTATTTAGGTTGAAATTAATTGATAGTTTCACCGTTGCATAAAAAAATTTCAATCGTAATTCAAATTTATACTATTTACTAATGTTTACATTATTGTATATGCATATCATCTCATCAGATATATTCTATAATTATACAGAAGTTAAGCACATTGAGAATGACTTTCACATAGACTATTTCTAGTAATAAACAATCCACCATCTCTCCCAGCCTATGTCGTCCTATGTTATCTTCATATCCGGTGTTGTCTATTCTGACTTGGGCGTTTAGATCTCACATCAGAATGATGAGGTCCTTTCTTGGATACTTCGCTATGATTGATTGCAGCCTACCCTAGAACTGATCTTTATCGTCTTCATTGCTATCATTGGTGGATGCATAACACTGGATAACATTTATTTTAATTTCCTGTCAGTTGTAATGAAATCCATTCAGTAACAACAACTGGTGGTAGCAGTTTTTGTAAACTTCAATATTAAGCTTTTTTTATGGTGTATAAAATCATTAACCTCTGATATCTAAGCCTACAAAATTTAGGTATTTTGGAAATTGATGTACTATGCAAAAGTTTATGAATAGTCAGTTGGTTATGTAAACTGATAACTTGATTTAATTCGCATATGGATTAATTAGCCTTATACTTGAAAATAATTCTAAAGAATAAACAAACTGTTGTCTATTCAGAACAATTATCAAGATTATCACGTTTTAATTTAGAAAAGTATTTTTAACGGACATTGAGAACCTTATCCCTAAAAATTCATCAGAGTAGACACATCTGATTGTGAAATTCTGAGTTATAGTTTTTGTGTTTAACAAAATATTACTGGGTAATAATTTTGCTGAGACATAATTATTTTGAAATGAAAAAATATTTGTAGTTCAGGTGCAGAGATTTATTAAAAAATTTTATCGTTATGACTTCAGACAAACCTGGCCTTTCCGAGCAAGAGACATTTGTCTAAGGTTTGTGTCCGAATATCGTTGTCTTCAAAGGATTATTAATATCTGGTGGCAACACTTATTTGTAATGCTGATACGTGTTTAGGTGTATTGACAATAATTTGATTAGTGTCACCATCTTGAACCACCGATATTGATGACTGAGTCATATTTTATGAATGTTATCTAAGCAATTTCCGCATCTCGCATTATTTACTGACATTGGGGCTGAATATAAAAAATTGGAGAGCAGGTACATAGGAACGCTGTTGTATGAAAGATAGTTGTATAGAATTGGCTTATGTCACTCCATGTTATTTGGGTCCTGAAGATGGTACAAGTCAGTGTCCTTAAATATTAGAAGATATGGAGCGGAATATAGTGTTTCACTATAATCTTTATAAAATGTGATGAAACTCCCAACTGATTAAAATCTTTCTTGACTGTATTTCCAACTGACTACATCCCTTATTAAAGACTAACTTAGTCCATTTATTCAGTGACTGTACTGCAGTTCACTTTATTTATTCATATTATTATTGTTTCATTTGTATGGTGATTTTTTTGGTGCTATGTATCGATTAAATAAATGACCAAGTTGATGGTTATTATGACTCGCTAATTTAATTTATAGCATACTAGCATTTGAAATAACAATCTCTAGTTTCGAGTTTCACTGTAAACATCAGTCATGAACATTGATTAAGCAGATGAAACGACAGAAAACACTTAACAACTATTCTTGACATCAATTCTTAGAGATAAAAAAGCAGATAAACATACAATTCAACATGATGAAATAAGGGGTTTTGTGGAGATTTTAATAATTTCAATAGTTGAGATCATGAGTCAATTGAAGCTAAACCACCATGGAAAACCTAGGAGCACTGGACGGCCATTTCGTCCTATTGTGGGACTCCTGAGCAGTACGCAACCACGACCCCGCTCCGCGGGATTCGAACCCAGGATCTACTGGTCTCGTGCTCCCAGGTTTTCTATAGTGGTTTAGCTTCAGTTGACTCATGATCTCAATTATTGAAATAATGAAATAAAATTGTTTACATTTTAAGAGGAGTATAAAAATAATATTTAAAAATTTGCTTACCTTATCCTGATATAATTTAAATTCATTTATTTTCTTTTTACTTAATTCAGCATTTACCATTTTCGCTTGTTCAATACAATTTCGAAATGATTCTATTTCTTTATTACGTTTATCATGTTCTTTTATACCAAGTTCAAATACTAATTTACATTGATGTGTAAATTTTTCTGAAAAGGTAGATTATTATTATTATGATCATCACCATTATTATTGATAATGTTCATATAAATTATACAAGTTAAGGTGAATAGTGATATTGGATTAAATGAAATGAATATTGAAACATTCACAACAAATAAATACAATAGTGTACATGTGTTTTTTTGTGTGCAAAAATGTAAGAGGTTCCGTTTTATACCTCTCAGTACTAGTTCAAGTATAACATGTTGGGTGAACATTAACTCAGTATGACCAACCCAGTTCAACTGTCAATGGTTCATGATATTGTCAAATTATTCAAATTTGTTCCGTTTAAATCTAATAACTTACAGCTATTAAGTGTTATACAACAGCTTTCTCCACAGATATTTATAATAGTGTATATATGTAGTGAATAAGAACACCAGTGAGAACAATCGAATGTATTTAACGCAAAATTACAGGACCTGTTAATAAAATCTAACAATCATAAAGTAATTGCTTAATTTGCAAAATGTTCATCAATTGTCTCAAAATGACCCAGACTTCATTGTTCTTGCATTTTCATACAAATTGCATCCTATTTCCATTCTTTACTGTTCGATCCTCTTGTCTCCCTGCTGCCAGACCTTCTGTTCACGACTAACATTATATATTACTTATGTCAATATAAGTAGCACACACCACATATTGACTAACGACTCTCAGATATACTGTTAGTTTACATGCCGAAAATTTATTTCACTATCAAACAATCAGATATGATGCATATAAATGGATAATTTAAGTTATTAGAGCCAACCACTTAGTTTCCAACTGGTCAATCACAGATTTGAATTCCTCTTCATTTACTTTAGTTTACATATCTGAGTCATATTATCAACCGTCACATAGCTTAAATGTATAGCTCAAAGTTTAGTACATTAACATACACTTGAACAATAAATTATATGAATATAATATATTCACTTTCAACTAGGTTTGATTGCACAATCAAGATTTGGATATCATTAGGAAATCTAAACTATAAATAGGTTATGATCGAGTCATATCTAATGATAAAGAAAGTTTATTTTCATGTTTAACATAACAATCATTTCTTTGACATTTCTTATTTTTCATACAATTCAATAGTCGAAAAATTCTTTCCATTTATTCTATGATTTTTTAGATTTAATTGAATACATCCTTGTTAGCAGACAAAGAATTCATTTATTCACTGGAATTTTGATTAATTATTGATAACATTAAGGTATATATATATATATATATATATATATATATACGCTGATTGTTCTTTAAATTTTGGACACTTTTTTTGCATATTACTGATTCATTCAAGTTTTCTTACTACTCAAAAATCAATATCTGAATATAACTGGATAAGATTTCAGTGTAGATCGATCTTCTTTGGAGAATTACTCTGAAGAACTTCAGATGAATTATCAAAATATTGGAGATATTTAACTTCCAAATCGGTGAGATTATTTCATATGTACATTTTTCATACACAAGAAAATTAGCAATCAGTAATTTACATATTTTCTTAATTCTTTTAAATCCCTATAACGAATGATATTTTATTCATTGACATAAATACTAGTTGTCAATTTGTAATGAGTGTAATGGAGTTGAAACTGTTGTCTTGTTAGAATGAAGAATGCACATATTTTTCGCCTTATTTTTTTACAGATTTTAATACCATTAACTTATTAGAACAAAATTATTTCATTTGGGATAAAACCTTTATTTCTAATTAATGACCTTTTATCATGATGGATTTTGATAACTTTTTAATCTTTATTCTTAAACATGTTTATTCGTTCATTTCATTGATGAACTATTTCAGGTTCTTTTTGTTGATATCTAACTGAAATTGACATGTAGTTGACTTTATTACATGTGAAAAAAAACTACTCAGTTACTGATTATTTAAGAAAAGAAAATCACTATGAGGTCTATTTCAACCAAACACAATGAATAATAAGTGTTGATCATAATTGTCTGTGAACGGGTAATACACAAACAGCCTGTAAGTTATTTAAAATAATAATTTTAGATGATAATATCAATCATTGAGACGTATGTAATTTGAGATGAAAAGTTCCAGACACGAGCAGATATCTTTGCGTAATCGATTCTTCAGTTACTGTCAAGCATTATATTGATCCTCTTAAAATGTTCAGTGTTTGAATTGACAATATCAATACTGTACTACATTTTACATGACATGTTCACCTGCTAAATATGGGACATAAAGCTATTACATTCAAAATAATCGGCGAACAACCTAACTTTGTCTTAAACCTTTATCTGCCTTCGTAACCGACGAGAATTAAACATTCTCAGTTCTTTTTTCAGTTCCGTTCTTTAATTATTTTGATCAGTCTTTTAAGTTTAATTCATATACATTTTTATTTCTGAACCTCTTAGATCTTTGTCAAATTGAGTAATAAAAATGGAATGTACTAGAATCTTTAATTCCAAGAATCTGTAAAATCTTGTTAAAACCTTAATTCTTAACTTAATTCACATCCTATACGCCTTATTTCTTGTTAATAGACAATTCATGTTTTCTCATTTTAAAATAATCAAACTTATTAACTTGTATGTAGCTGAAGAGAAAGTAACGAAAAACATTCAATCCATTGTATTATACAATTAATAGAACTCTTAGTTCGTTTAAATATGCCAAGGGAACGATTTTAAGAAATACTGTATACCTCATTTTTTTATTGTTTGTTTGAATCTCATTGATGTTTAGGACTGAAATTGATCAGTCTTTTATCGGTATATGTACATCCTGTGCGGATTGCCCCGATATTGCCGTAAGTTACAACTATTATATGCAAAGATGGATGGTGGCTAGCTAGTGGCTACCAGGATGGCGTTTTAAGAGACCACTACTAGGTTCGAGTCCCGGAGTCAACATCAACTCTGGGAAACAGGAACATCCGGATGACGAGTCCTAAATGGGACGAAACACGCGTTCTGGATTTCACTGTCAGCCACCACTCACCTTTTCTTGTAATATTGTTTACCCCTTAACTTCATCATTTTGAGGAGATAATCTCTAAATTATGACAAATATTAAACACAAGCTACATACATTATTAATATAGTTGATGCCTTTTTGTGAAAGTTTTGATAGCTTGAATATGGCTAACATAACAAATTGATGTTACCTGAAATGTCTAGTGATTTAAAGGCATGGTGATCACTGAGAGGTCTAAAGTTTTTGAGTTCAATTTCGTATGGAGTAGTGGGAACACAGTACTATGCAGTTCCTGAATAGGTGGAAACAACTGTCCATTGCTCCCGGGTTAGCAGCTGGTCTCCAGATAATGATCAAATGACATATCGTAGATCAGGGGGGAAGATTCTGGAAATGTATTTTTCCGGCTGGATTGTCTAATCTTGCAGCTCTAATTATCTTTCCAGAAGACACTGTCAGAAAATGCTTTGAGAAGAATTAAGCTTAGGGATTTTTGCACATTTGTGTAACAACCTGTTCTGTTGACATCAACTTCGATTATTTGTTCACAATAGTTAACATTATTTGATTGAGTTCTCTGACCTTGCAATTTTGTATCATTCTTCTTATTGACTGATAGATTGGGTCTATTTTACAACATCGAATGATTAATTGGTGAAATGCTTGTAAAGATTCCCTTGATCATTGTTTTATAGTAGGAATATAATCTTGTTTGATCTTTGGCTCAGTCGAGATAACTAGGGCTATTACTTTAAAGGATGCCATCAGTTCTTTTTAATATTTTTAGTTTTAACATAACATGCCATTGTCGCCCGATTCAGGTACGGACAAACACACTTCCTGTACACCTGTGCAACCTGCTACTCTTGTGAGACGACTAAGAATGACTGAATAACTGTTGGTGGAAAGCTGAATGAAGTGTATATAAGACATAAAGACTAAGACTTTCGCAATGTGAATAACTGGCTTCATCCAGTAGCGTGCCTTATTTATCTTATCTGAGTGCTTGGCCTTTGGATGGGGTGCAAGCACAGACACGTAATACTAATAGACTTGCTCAGTCTATCACATCTAAAAGTAATACATAATTGTCGACTATTCAATAAGCCAACCAGGAAAAGGATATAATTCAATACTGTTGTACAATTCAGGAACTACCAATAATTCTCTGCCATCAGGATCATCAGTGAATAATTTTTGAAAAATATTTTCATCAACTATGCCATCAATAAATGCTTGTTTATATAGTTCTATTTTAGCTTGATTTTCAGCAAGTTCTTTATTCAATTTCAATTGAGTCTCTTCTTCACTTATAATCTCATCAATTTCTAGTTGATATTTTTCATAACCTGTAGATTTCTGTAATAAGAGAAAATCTGAAATTTTGATTTGATAGAGAGATGAAAATGACGAAACATAACAAAAAATAAAATGGGACAGAAAACAAATAATAAGTTAAAAAGAAATTAGGAGCGGGAATTTGTCTCAGAGATGTCATTGAATAAGTTATTTAATTGGGGGGAAAGCCGTTATGTATCTACCAGTTTTCTGTCTCCTGAAGATCATGTTTTATTGGCCGTAAAAAGTGTATTCTTTCCCAAAGTACACCCGAAAACTACTCAGCATTAGTATCTAAAGATGAATGCAAACCAGTTAATAGTTAGATTATTGACCACTTGATCAATCACTGCTATCTATCTCAACCAGAATCTTCATTTAAAATCATTCAGACAAACTGATTTTAAGGGAAGTTGAACAAAAAACTGGTGCATAAAGGAAGCTATGATAACCTATCAGACCAATAATATTCTTTGAGTTCAGAACAGATATGTTTAATCCTTTATTTTATCATAGTTCTAACATTCCTTTCTCAAACCGAGGTTTTAACACATGTTCTTCCTTATATTCGACCATTGAACAGCCATTTACTCCTCTTCTTTTGATGCCATTTTCATTCTTATCACCTATTAACTATTAAGCAACTTCACTTGACACTTGAAGTGATTAACTTTTGGTAACTTTGCTAATGATTCAATAGTCTTCGATATTATCATAGACTTCTATGTGTAAAATAGCTATAAATACAACTGTATGGCTTTGTCGAAAAAAGTTTTTTCTCGCTGAAATGACATTATTTAGCTTAATATTGAGCAACTTATATCATTGTCAATCATTTTCGAACAATTAACTTATCGTGCTTCTTCGTAGTTACATGTGTAATATATTTAAGCGCTTACATGAACTCGTGACATTTAATCGATCTATTATTATACTCCTGACATACTTAATAATTTATTTTTATTTCTTGTGAGCTTGTTCCACATTTGTTTGTTTGTAACATTTTCTATTTATAGCTTGCATGGAATAGTTACCTGCCATTGTTTAATTTGACACAGATAACTAAGCTATTACCTAGTTTATCGTATGTTTTTTTTCATAATTTATCTTTACATAACTATTCCACGCAATGGTTCCTCGTTGATCGTACATATTTGCATGTAAAAACCTTGAAAACCTCACTAATTGAAGTTTGTAAAATGTTTAGCTTGTGTTTTTATTGATAATAGTACCGTATTATGAAATAATCCACTGTACCGATTTTTTAATTCTAAACATAACTCAGTCCTTTTGTCTGAAATTCTAAGCAGAAATTGAAAAAGATGAAATAGGTGAACATAAAAAAAGAACTTCAGAAAGCAGCTTACAATTTTATCGTCGGTTCTTTGATAATCTAAATAAAATAGATTGGGTAGCATAGCATGAATATACAACTTGTAGTCATCGTTTTTACTAATTGGATTACCATGTAAACATACTGATTGTAAATGGCGAAACTGACGTAAATATTTTATCTGTATTAAATGAAAATATTGATTTCAAAAAGAATTAATCTAATTCATTTTCTTAATCATCTAATGAACAAACCTTAATACTGGAATATTTGTAAATAAAAAAAAAGTGTGATATATTAATACAGAGGTGGATAGGTAAGTTTGATTAAGTTAGTTAGTTTTCAATATGGATTAATAAAAGTGGATAAATGATTGCAAATCGATAATCAAGAAGTATCTTGTTTTGATACCAGACCCGGATATTCTAAGTTCAATCTCATATGGGCATGTAAGTGTGTATCATCTTGAAATTACACAACTAGTTGATATAAGTATGTAATACCTATTTGGTTTGCACTGATTTTTTCAGCAAGTTAAGACGAATGACTAATTGAGAATGAAGATTTTAGTTGCTAAAATAAATGAAAGTGCTAATCGATAGATAAAATGTGATAAAACGATATGGTTTAGTGATGGATACTCATGAAACCAAATATACTAATATTAATGATAATACCAATAGCCAAAGAAATAAATCTTATTTGAAAATAACATACCTATACACATATTATTAAGCAACACAACCAACTAGAGGGAATCGGTTTCAGTGAACAGAATACATCCATCAAGACATTTAATAAGAAAGATTAATTCAGTGAAAAGTTCTCTTTTCGGTGACTTCATTTTCAAAGCTGTACAATCGCTAATATATACTTATTTTTACCGGATGATAATAATTATAATAATGCTGGTAATAAACTTCTCTTAGACATGGTGACACTGAGGATAAATAAAGGCATTTAAAAATTTTTAAGCAAGTAAATCTTAATAATCGTTTGATTGTTAATGGCTTAAGTATTCATCAAAAGATAGATAGGGAAATTATGATTGGGACAGTATGACTCAACATGATAAGATAAAATGTTGAATTTGAGATTAATCAGGAGGATCGTAGAAACAGAAATGAACCAGTTGGGGGTAGAAGACTTATGTGGAAGCAGATGGCTGTAAAGGAAGAAGAGTATGAAGAAATAAAAAAAATATAAAACGTTAAGACCATGGTAGAAGATTTTGTACCAATCTTCTTTGTACACACAATTCTGGTTTTTCCAGATGTATGGCTATTGTTTCGGCAGTGCATTGGTCTAAGAGGTAGGCCAGATTTGTGTATTTTTGGCAGAGCATATAATCGCGGTATTATTGGTCCTATTGGTTTTATGCGCTCAAAGTCATGTTCGTCGATTGACCGATCACCTTTCATTCTCTTAAAAACTTCAATCAGTTGCTCTTCTATAATTTCAGCAGCACTAAACCCGCACCTTTATCTGGACGTCTTTATCAAGTTTTTATTGTTTCTAAGTAGTTTTAGTTGATTTCTATGTTTTTTTAGTTAGAAAACTTTTACCTGTTACTTTTGTGCTAATATACTGGTAGCAGCTATCGAGAAGAGTAGATTTGAAACGTTGGAATTCTCGGTCAAAGACTGGACTACGACCATTTGTTTGTTTGATTAAATTTTCGAATTAAACATGTGTATGGATTTTAATAATTTTTTCATTTATGTCAAAAAATTTTATCCCCAAGGATAAGACTTCTAATTGTACATTTGTTAAGGATATTGAAGTATGATTGCTAGGAAATTTATGTTGTGTTTCTGTGGTTTATAAGCCTTGAGTGAGATCCGATATTAGTTTTTTCGTACGTTTGTCACTAACTATGGTAACATATTCGTCGAAAGGATCGTGTTCGTTAGGTGATAACTCGTATAACACAGATCTCTGTAAAATGTTAAAGTTCAATAACGGGATGCGTGGACGAATAGAATCGATAACATTTTGTGCATGAAGTTTAAGAGATTTTGAGTTTGGATAAATGTTGTTTCTTCAAAGAATTTTCCAGCAGCATTTAGGATACTTGTGCGTGTTAACGCAATCCATAAGAAAGATAATCTTCGCATTCACTTCCGCGAATTTGACAGAATAATGAAGAAAACCATTAAGTTCCTTTACTGTCGAAGGGTCCTTAGAATTTTCTAGGTTTTGAAGGTCACTCATTCTCCAACAAATTATGACCGGACTTTAAGGTTTAGCTTCTGGCCGTAACATCACGTCTAGTTACGAGATGATTAGCGATCCTTTTGTGATAACATCGGTGAAAAGGTAATACTTTAGAAGTATCTCACATATAACCTAGCTTTCATTTAAATCATGTTTCTAACCCATCTATAGATCACGGCTGAATTATTGACACAAAATTTAAGACACTTTCTGTGATTTATTGATTTTAAGGAGTGAATAAATTCTTACTTAGTTATAGCTTTAAATGTACTTTAGCGATTAAGAATAGGTTAGTACACCTCTGTTTTGAATCAAACTTATTATTTGAAAGCTAGTGATACTGCGAAATTGTTTAGATAAAAATGAGTGGAACGATTTTTAAAATTGTAGTCCAGTAGTCGAAGGTCAAACAATGTAGCCTATATCTCATCACTTTCTACTAAACACTTGAACCATATCCCTGATATTATAAAGATCAATTAGGACGTAATGCGGATTCTCTTCAATGTAATAATTATTGATAACACTACTCATATCTAACTATCAAACTTGTTCACCTAATGAATAGACTTAATAATGTCCAAACTCCAATTGGTGTGTTGTGATTTGAATTATTTCTTTTATTAAAATATAAACTCACATAGTATATATGCGTGCATATATTCTAGAGTCATAAAGTGGATTTGATTTCTATTTGTTATTATGTATCATTACTAAAGTTTCACTCGCCAATTTATAATAAATTGAGGATTAGTTAGAATACTAATAATGAAACTAAAGGTAAATCTATAGTATCCAAATGAGAATAAAATTAAATTTCTGACGCTTAGCAACTTAGTGTAAGCCACTTCTTCGGAGTAAAGCAAATAACGTCAGAAATATAATTTTTAACAACTTGAGACATTACAAAAACATATCGTTTAATCTATCATTGGTTTTTTTTTAATTTCATAAAAAACGGGATATTTTGCAATGTTCATTAAGTAGTTATGTTAAAATCTGCGAATTACAAACTACTGGTTTCCAAACACTTTATTTGAATTATAATAACCGCTTTTTTAATCACTTACTGGTAACTTCACAAACAACAAATAAAGATGTAAATACCCACTAGATCTTCGGGTTCAGTTGATAGTGTTATCTACTTAACACATATTTATGTTTTACATCAAATTCATTATGTTAACTTGTCAATTAAATGAGTTACAAAAAACGAGTAGAACAGTAAAACACTGATATGAAGAGAAAATAATCAGCTAGTCATCGCAGCGAAAGAACGAAGTGTCAAAATTTGAATGTCTAAGGTGAACTTGACATAAATGAGGAACATATATTTAACTTACAGTAGATTATATTTTAGTGATACTCTTAACATCATTATAAAATTTAATCCAAGCTGAAATCCAGAAATCATGTCTTTACCATCTAAACTCTTGAACACATACTAATAAATAGTTTTACTTACATTAGACAATTCAGTAATATAGTTGTTACCAATTGAAAACACTTGTAATTTTTTCAAATTTTCCATATTTTCTAATGTGGTAATTCGGTTATTGTACAATGTTAAATCTTCTAAATTTACCAGATTTTGTAAGCCGTCAATTTTTTCAATATTATTAAATGATAAATCTAAGTGATTATAAAAGTAGTATTTACATTTCACCATCGAATTACATTCTTACCAAGCCAACGTAGGTGAGTTAAATGACCGATACCTTCAATTCGTTCTATGATGTTATTATCAAGCTGCAACTTAACAAGTAACTTAAATGCCCACAAGTTATCGATTTTTAAAATGTCTAGTAAATTGTTTGCATAAAAGTAAAATTGAAAACTAGTTTACTTTTATAATCCAATCTCAGGTGTGTAACATTTTCAAAATGGATTCCATCTTGTTTAGCAAGTTCGCTCACAGTTCCTTTTTGCAATAATGAAAATACAGCATCATTTAGTAACTGTTTATCAATCACTGTTGGTTCATAATTGTCATATAATCGACTCATTTAGTTGAGTTCTAATGAAACACAACAACAGAATAAATATCTATAAATAATAAAGGCAAAGAATAAACAATCGAATTATGAAGAGAACAAGTTATATATATTTGTTATTTGATCTTCATAAGTTCCTCATTATAAATAAAACGGGAAATGAAACTTATTTATATGTTTATCTCATGATGACAGTTCGAGATTGGAAATATATCACCTAATAATGCACTCTGTTTGTCTTTGACTTGTATTTTTCTTTCAAACTTAATTTTCGGATTCTGTCAATGGAAACCTTAATAACTTGTACTCAGTCTGCATCGGTTTTGCCGGGTCAACAGTGGCCTTGTTTCGTATATGACCAGTCAAAAGTGTATCAGGAGTTCTTGAGAATTATGTAGACATATTGAACAAGCATTCGTACAGTGTATAGTCCGATGATGGCTTGAACAAACTGGAATAAAAAAGTTCAGAAGACAGTTCTCAATAACAATGATTCATCACTTATGCTGGGTATTGTCAGTATTGATTGTGTAGTCTTTCAGACGACCGATCTGACAAAAAGAGAACTAGTCATAAAATATTCATATGTGGTTGAAATGTGGCAGTTGTCTACGTAGCTCCTTGGCAGCACGAATCAGCATCTAAGCATTTGTGTTCTTCGGATGATTTACTCCAGAAAATAACCAAAACAACACTACTTGTCCCATCGCGTAAAAATTGCGATAGAAATAGTAATAAACATATTAAACTCCTGTTTCTGCTTCTAAGTACAACAAATCTAAAACTACAAAATTTCAGATTTTTGCTTTTACAACCCAAGCAACCAGTGAAAGGGGAAATAAAGATGAACAAAAGGGAAATAAAGAGTAAAATGCGTTGGAAAATAAAGAGGAAAACGCAACAAAATGTCGCCCTTTTCGCCTGTCCAGGGAAAATAATGCGGATTCCCCCCAAAGGTCTCCCATGTTCGCCTTAATTCCCACAACAATTAATTAGCTATAAGGTTAGTGTAATAAACATCAAAATCAACACAAAGTCTTACGCTTTTGCAAACAACATTATCAATGAGATATAAATAGCAATCTCTATAAGTTTGGCCTTCTCAAGACATATCCTAAAACTTGTGTTGTTTGATTCACAGTATTCTACAAGCAGAATAAGTAACTATGTAACTGATTCTATTATAGATTCCAGCATAACAATTTTCAGGAGAGAACTCTGAAATGATAGGTGACATAACCTAGAATGTTTGCTTTTATGAAATTTAGGGAATGAAATATTTAGATATCTAGAAAATGGAGTAAGCACCTAGATCAGACGGCTGCCATCGTCATTATTGTAATTTCACAGATGAGAAAAGTATTTGACCTTCAGTTAATAAACTCAAGACTCCTTTCTATCGCACAATTAGGCATATTGACTCATTTAGTCAATTAATCACTACTCTTTGCCCCTTAGACAATAATCAGTGAAAAATCATGTGAATAATTGTGATCAACGAATTGTTTTCTTAATTTTGGTTTTCTTTTTTCGAAGAAGCAACAACTCAACAGAAGTATGGGATGATTCAACAACTTACCAATAAATCACCATAGCTTTCAAATCATATAGTGCGTTTAAACAATTTAGATATACAGCAGCCAATATTTTAGGTCTAACTAGTGTAAACCAAATGGTTGGCTTGCGCTCGTTTGACATTGGGAGTCTGTTTCAATTAGTTTAGTTGGCCACATACTTGTATTAGTGTTTATTAACAGCTGTCTTCGCAAAATACTTCGGATCCGTTGACCAGACACTATCAGCGACAACCTACTATGGGAGAGAACAAACCAGATCCCACTAGGAAAAGGAATCTGGCAGAGGCTCTGGAAGTTGACGGGACAAACATTGTGGAAAGCATCCAACTACGTCACAAGGCAAGCCCTCACATTAAATCCTCAATGCCATGGGAAAAGAGAAAGTCCAAAGAACACATTAGGTCGAGAAAAGGAGACATACATCAAAAAAATGAATAAAATTGGATAGAACTGGAAACGAAGGCCCAGGATAGAGTGTGTTGGAGAATGCTAATCGGCGGCCTATGCTTCTATTGGGAGTAACAGGCATAAGTATTGAGTAAGTAATCTACTTGTACTAATCTCATTGATGTTCCACCCGTTTGTTCTTAGATGTTGTTGTTGAAATGAAAACGTGTTGTTAAGTATAAATAATTGAATTCTAGTAAACTTTGACATTGAAGCTCCATGTTCTTTGCGAGATTTGTGTCGTTGGTGAAGAGCAAGGATAAAGTTTCCTTTTCCAAGCTTGGTTTAATTGAGATGATTAAAGCTGATACATCAAACAATATCTTCACTTCGACGATGTAGTTAAGAACCCTCTTATACTTATCCGGTAGTTGCATATGAGATGTAATGGAGTGATTGAAAGAATCCACAAATGTTTTAATATTCGTGAAATTGTGTTGGTGATCCAGGGAGTACTACAACCGAACGTAGTGAAATGTTTGACTGAAGTGCTTGGTTCCATTGGTTGTCCTGAAATCTTAATTGGGTTTTTGTTGAGGGTGGAATTTTCTGTCATTTGTGTTGTCAGCATTATACCTTTATGGTTGTTGTCAAGATTATTAAGTGTCCTGATTTGCATTTTCTCTCTAACTTTCTCTTTTGGTTATCCACGTATAATTTATACTTGTGTATCCTGTAGTGTGCATCAGTCATAATTAGGTAGTACCATTTAAATTCAATTTCGTTTACCTATCCTCCGTTACACAGGGGAGTTGGTAGGTGGCCTTTGGCTTACACCTGTTGATGGAACATACTTGTAGTGACTCACGTTTATCACGAGAACACGACTGGTTTAATAGAAACAATTATTATTACAACCAACTGTACCAGTGTTTGTTTTAATGTGCTTTTGTTTAACTGTGCTAATTATAGCCATTTTGTGCTTCTATTACCTTCCATTATTGTTCCGCGGTTTTTGGTACTGTTCGCACGTACTCCTGACTTCTGCTTCCACTTGTACCATTCCTTGGCACGATCTCGTATTCGTTCAATACCACGAGATCGCCAACGAAATAAATCTGGTTACAATAGATCCTCGCCTTCTGATTTGTCTGGCACGTGTTTCTGGGTAGCGGTGTTCACAGTTAATCTCAACTCGACGCCACGCTACATACTAATGTAGACACTCGTGGATATAATACAACTGTTCTCGTGTGGAAGCCTGTCTTTTGTTGAAAGCCTCCATTTTATTCAGCAATGAGAATTGTGCCGCGCTCATATGATTTTGAGATAATAGAGTTTTTTAGTTCATGTGAGTGATTCAAGTTGAATTTTTCTCTATGATCAGGATGATTTGGTCGTGCAGCTTTTGTGGTATTTCTACACGAGATCTTCAGGACAAGTAGAAGTGAGGTGTTCGAATTTCTCCACATATGACTCACAGCTTGTCCTGTAGACCTCGATTAGTTATTTTCGACCTTTAAATTGCCACTGTCTGCCTCCACACTCTTTAACATCTCAGTGCGATAATTAACTCAGCATATGTTTTGTTTGGTGAAGCTCTGATAACTTTCATTCTGAATAAGCTTATAAGATGACCTCAGGCTCTCCCTCTTAAGCACAAAATAATTCCCGTGGCCTGTTTTGCATAGTCGAACGTTTCACATGATATCTCCGAAATCACTGTAAAAACACCGAAGTGATTTGATCATTTCTCGGAACTGCTGTCGGGTTGTGAGTGCGATACTAAGAAGTATTCGAACTAATCTGCTTACCAAGAATATCCGGAACAGTGTATTCTAAGAGAGTTAGAACTAGATGAGTACGGCCGAATGTAATATATTTAGAATTCGTAATAAGTGTACAAACAAGTACAAGAGTATCATCAGTTAGCGAGAATACCACGCCTAATCAGTGCTGAAAGAATTCAGATCACCGAAGACTACTTTGGTTTACACGCAATCATACAGGTAATGTATAGGAATATATAAAAAACTGACCGGAAAAATAATCAAATACTAAAGCCAGCTGGGTTACAAAATACTTTAAGTGACAAGAGTTATCAACTAGATATCAATAGAAAGCGAAATTATACTGTCTGATCGAAATAACTGCTCCTGGGATTCGGTTGTAATTATGGTTGCCTACACTGAATGGAAATTTTTACATCAGTGTACAGACATAAGATACTTTGAGAGACATGTTTATTTGTAGCTGTTACTTCGTTTAGAGGTTCCTCGTTCACAACCGCCTTACAAAAGGGGAAAGTTTACATCATCAAAATGCACAGTTCTCTGTCCCAGATTTTTGTAGAAAACCTTATAACACCAGTTTTCTGTAATCTTAAATAATAGAATTTACAGAACAGGAACTCATTTCTTTAAAAAATGCATACCGAAGAACTACTAAGGTCACTTGGCTCCCGTAAAAGCAGTTATCAAAGCTTAACTTTGGAAACAAGTGCGGATGGTTTTAGTGAATGGACTCAGTTCATAAGTAAAGTAACAAGCGCATATTGAGTACTGATTGACAAACTAGATGTGAACTAATAGATCCAAATGAATAGAAAGACATGAGCGGGTGACAAACAGACCATATGACAATGTATATTCCACAATAATATTTACATCAAGCTTTGGATTTATACCAATATTACAAATAAGAGATAAGAGGAATGGAAAGTTAACTTCGGTCGATAAATTTCATCACAACTGGAATCTAGCCTATCTCCCAACGCATTAATCCAATAAAATTTATTAATAACAACGTACGACAATACTGACGAATATCCTGACTAAATAGATACCCTGAGCTGCTTCAATAGCCCAAGTCTAATGTACATAAGTTGGATAGAAGAAAAAGTGTGCAGAATGTTAGATGGACGCTTCACTCCGATATTAGTTCATGTACATAAAATTGTGGGTACCCATAGCTTTTCAGATGAACTTGAGCATCTGGAACACTACTCAAAATAGTACCAGGATATGTAGCCACCAAGTCAGTAATGTGACTCTACACGTCCTAGATGTTTCTGAGTCACTTCTGCTCAACGTTCATTGGATAAAATGTTTTCAAGCTCTTAGTGAACATTTTCGAGGAATATACTGGGTTTCTATAACAGATACAATGTTCAGAATGGCTGTGTTTATACGGACAGACCCCCTAGTTTTACAATTTAGTAATTAGTAAGGATATTTTTTGAAGTCACCGCAGGTGGTTAGTAAATTTCTGATGATAGAAATGTAAATAAATACATCATATATGAACACCCTGAAAATACAGATTCAACACAGAGCAGTGCTCGATAAATACTATTGATATAAGGATGAAGTGCATTGGTGTATTTAAGTAATGTAGTGTACATCTACCAATGAAGAATCAGTTACCGACATAGGTAAACCACCTTGAAGAATTATTGCCGACGTTTTTTAAGATCAGATTCTAGAATTACAAGATTGGTTTTTATTTTCCGTGTTATGAAGTAGACCAGTCACCTGAACTTCATAAAGTTAACAGCCATAATGTGGTATTTCTATCTAAACAGCGTATACAAAAATCAGATCTCATATAGAAATCCGTGACCGGAACCTCAATACACTAACTAGTAACTGGTTGTATCACACATCATGTACAGCGCACATAAACAAAGTCTTAAATCTATTAGTAACCGGAAATTATTATTTATAGTTCAATGTACTACAAAATAAATGGCAATATAAAGAAAATTGGTAATATACATTGAACAATAATAGCTACACAAATGTAGTAAGAAATAGACAAAAGTACCAAACATTCGTATAAAAGCAATTAATATAAAAATTCTTACGCGAAAACAAGAAAAAACATGCACTAATGATAAACACAGTAATGGGAGAAGAAAGACTTTACAGTTTATCTTAAGACTAGACAAATACGAAAGGGGAACTGACAGTTTTGAGTCAACAAACTACAAGTAGGTATAGTTTTAAACGGAAAAAAGCAGTTTGACATATGTACAACGCTATCTGTATACGGAAATTTAGGAATGTGACAAAAAACACCATGTAAAACTATATTAATCCAGTAACTATTCAAAAATAGTCATTTAGATCAGGTTTCACTCGTGTGTTTCCTTGTGAATGACCAGCTGGTTTTACAGAACGAAGATTCCCTGAGTTAAGACGTGAGTCTTCATGTTCATCTCGTCCGTAAGGTTGCTTTTAAGAAATAAAAAAGATAAAACGCGTTCACAACTGTGGTTACAGACATCGAGAACTTTGAACGAGAAAGAACAATAGAACATATTACCTACGAAAGGTTTTACTAAATAAATAAAAAACTTATTGATTAGTTCAATATAAAAAATTGGTTGTTATGATACAACAATATGAAATCCAAAGTAAAGAAACAAATCTGAACTATTATAAATTGGTGTTTTGATCTTGTTCTTACTGATATTGTGGTGCTAAGTTTATCAGGTTTCGTTATAATACTGGATCTATGAATGAACGTGTTCATATAGGTGATATTTACAAGCTGATAATGCCAAGTAAACGGATCGAAAATGTTCATCTTAATCTACTTATGACTGTTCATACAAATTTGTCTTCATTTTAGCTATGATGTTTTCATTAAGTGAGACTCAGTGACCATTACTTCGTATATATATATATATATATATATATATATATATATATATATATACACGCTCAATAAGAATATACAGATGAAGGCTGATCAAATGCCTACTTAAATTACAAAAGACCTCCACTAATACATATGTATAACATGCCACGATTTTATTTATAGACTTTATTTACTAAAAATTGGAAGCATATTCGTCATTGTAATTTTATACTTATGAATTGTCAATAGCTGCAACGAAAAGGGAATCTATGCTCTTGTGTAGCGAAATTATGAATACATATCACAATACAAAAACAAATAAGATTTTAAGATCAATCTTGCATACCTTATTCGGAACAGCATTGTAACCAGTGGATTGTGCCATCCTGTAATCTGTTCCATGGATACGATTAGCAGATGGATAGTGTACTTTGTGTTCGCCACCTCCAGAATGAGAGACAGAACTCTCCATACGACTTGCCTAAATTTATTTGTAGGTAAGCTTTCGTAAAAGTATGATAAATGTACTACGAACAAAAAACTATATATCATGAGAAACAATACAAAAATAATGCAACACAGTAACCGGTTAAAGACCTAAGTGATCTCTTAGATAGACTGATTTTTAAGAGTTAGAGATACGGTTAACGTGTCCAAACAGTAGATAGAGTGGGTTACCAAATCGTAACGCCATTCTAGGGTTTTAACAACTAAGCCGTTTAGAATGTGAGTTTGTAATTTACGCTTGATGAATAGATGCTAATATGTACAAACTGATATAATAAAATGAAGCCATGAAGTTTAAAATAATAATCTCATAGCAACAAAATTAGTTTTTTTTCTTCACGTAAGAACATCATACTATTAATAAAATATTCCAAAAGTTAGAACCTTAGTGTTATTATAAGTGTGGAAAATACTCAAGTTAGTACAGAAAATGAGTTTGAAACAGAAATATTTATTAACTAAATAAACTGAAGCACTGGAATGATCAGCACACACATTGGTGATTACTACAAATAGTATTCTCATTACAACTGTGATGAATATTTTCTGATTATCAAAACTGTTCAATTGGTGTATTACTAGTATAAGAAGTGCAAAATGCATTCCAAGAACAACCGTTTTTAGTCAAGACGTAGAAATAGTAAATTATCTTGTAAATCACAACTTTATTTACAGAGTTCAAAGACAAAGAATAATGAGCATAAATGATCAATTGTATAAGTGTATGTTGCGACCATACTTTTCTTGAACACCTGACTGAACTAATTACTTAATTTTAATGTTAAAAAATCAGTGAATGTAAAACCTAAAATTCATTAGTTATCTATCAAAAAGAAAACTTATAGTGAGTGTGTCTAAGAAGGCTGTAAACTTATTATTCACTCTTATTGAGGCTAGTTCATTCCCTTTCTATGTAATTATTAATTTTATCATGACGCTGCAAACTATAAGGAACTTAGTGTTGAATATATACCCGTAGAATGCGAGTGAAAATATATAAAGAAATGTCATTAAAACTAATTGTATGTGGAAATTCGGATCGAATTCAAAAGCTCAATAGGTTTTTTCTCCAGTCTGGGTCACCTGTGACGTAAGCGGTGTGTTTATCTGCTAGCCAAAGGACTAGAAGTTCGTTCCGTCCCTTCTGTATGAAAAACGTGACTTTCAAAAAAAGAGAATGTTCTTGGGTTACTGGGACTTAATCACTGATCCGTTTGAGGCATGGCTTGAGTACGTTGGAACTACCAAGTAAGTAATGTTGAGGTTAGACGAAGGTTATTAAGCAAACACGACACACCAGTTGATGAGGTTGTGAATCTTTCTCAACTGAGGTTGTTGGGACAGACAAGCATCAAAATAAAACCCAGCAAAGATATATGTTAAACTAAGTTGCCGTACCAGATTAGCACAATAAAATGAAAACCAAAAAAGAGATCGAGACAATGTAACAATGAAAAATCAAACCTTTAAAATACGGCTTAGAAAGATAGAGAAGGTATGAATGAAGGGATACTGTAATTCAAGAACGAGGTAAATAAGAGATGAATGCATCTGCGTTGTTGTGAACGGTCCTGAGCTATACTATCCAAAGTCTCCAGTCGCTTATTGGGGGTCATCAGGTGAACATCAACCAAATAGTCTACATCTACCATAAATATGTAGTACATATCCGAATCACCTATGGTTCGGATATTTGTTATTTAACCTGGACCGTTACCTACAAACATTTCATATTGTCTATTGTAGGAGTAGGTTGGAAAAAAGCTAGAGGAGATAGAATCGAAACGTGGCAACAGTCAATGAAGTCACTAGTAGTTAGATTGTGCCGTGGTGGTAGTTGTAGACTACCTTATCGAGATTCGTGCAATTATTGTAACCAACAATTGAAGACGAAGGGTGATATAACTTAAAATGGGCCGCACTGGTATATGTTTATTCAGTCTTTGTCTTCCCTTAGATCGTAAAATTTAGAATCAACTTATACTTTTATTCAGCGAACTCACTATTTCGTTTCGAATCATATTACCTAATTCTAGTTTTTACTACAACCATTGACACTGTTACTACTTCTACTACCCTTCTATTTGTTCTAGTAATTTCATTTCGCAGTTGTATGGTGTGGCAAGTTTAACCGATAGATACATGTACCAGGTTCTTAGTTGATTATGACTGACTGATAAGTAGAAGTGTTTCAAACATATTTACCATAAACTCCCCAATTACTTCAGGCAATTATGGGATTACTTTGTAAGATTACATAGTAATATACGTTACAAATTGATGTGACTCATTAGGTACAGTTTTATTACACTAGATCATGGACCATACTTAGAGTATACGAGCAGGACATTTATTTACTGAGTATTAAAAATGACTTGGTAAAACAAAGCATTGAGAAATGCACCACACAGAAAACAAACCACTGAGCAAAAAAAGAAAGACTCAACAATAAAGTGGAGATATATATTCAAGAACAAGATGAAAATAATACTATTGGGACATTAAAGGAAACGAGAGCATGATTATCTCTAGCCGCTATTCAGTATTGCCATCTTATGTAAGCAAAGACGATCGAACACAGGGTCACTAAGCATTCTTAGCTCTGAAAAGTGATACTGCCACTACAGCGTTAGGTACACTATATATTTTTATCACATTAATGTGAAGCAGATTAGCATGAGCTACTCTGAAATCCGCCATACTTGGACTATTGGGACACTCAATGAACTCAGAGCGTACTAGATCACAGATAGAACACAGACGAGTGATACTAGAAGATCAGAAATCTTCCAGATATTTACACTATTGGCAGCTAGTTGCGATTAGAGCTCTTTGGGCAAAGGATTGAGCTACAAAGGAAAAAAGCAAGTTGATATATCGAAAATGACTGTATCCGGCGTCGTGAATGACCAAAATTAGACTTATGAACAACAAGCACTTGTCGACCTCCTGGATAACTTCCTCGTACTTAAACATCTGGCCTACGTATTGAAGTCCCCAGATATCACAAAAGGTAGTCCCGTCGGTGAAGGAACTCACCCTCGGTTATATCCAGGTGACCATCTATTGGGACGTATACGGTGACAGTGAAAAGACATTTCTTTTTTTCGTCCTTTCTTACTCTGGCTTCATAATCTATATCAGCTGAATATTAACAATTATTAATGAGGAAATACTATGCGGCTTTTAAAAGTATAATAGATGACGCGAAATTGGGATTCTCTTCACGAATATGATAAATTTAATGCAAAACATGAGCAGTAAAAAGTGGAGGGATGATTTAGAAGTCGACTTTTAACTCCATGATTCCAAACTTGAAACATACTCCCCAGATAACATCACCTGCGTTGCATAGTGCCAATTAAACATATTAACTACTGATTGGTTTTAGCTATTCTTGAGTAACTTTAATTTTTTAAAAAGTGACAGTTGTTAACACGAATTTGAATACTCACTTCCTTCAGTAGTATAGATACGTTCTAATGAGTTCAAATCCACATAAACTCAAGGTTTAAGATTTTATTATTATACTTTTTCACCAGATAAAAAACTTTTTTCATGTTTGTCATATAAATTCACTTGATTACAATTCTAATTGCGAATATACTTAAGTCATAAAGATAGAGATTTTTGGTTCTAATTGATAAGCCGATTACTAGCGTTTTATTCTCTATTTGATTACATTGTAAATAAAGTGACATATTCTTTGAAAGAAAAATAATCATGGAATATGTTTAGAGAAAAAATAATGACTTAATTGTTACTTAAACTATTAAAGGTTAACCCCAGATCTCATGAAATCAATAAAAAAGGATTATTTCGTAATAGCAAGAATTTGTGTTATTTATTATCGAACACAAATATTTTATTGGTTTAATTTTTTTACTTTAAAATACTTTTGAAAAAAACTGTACATTGAGCATAAATAATGAGTTCGTAAAATTTTAATATAACATTGTAGAATATTACACTATTACATTCACTTATTATTGTTTTGGCTTGTATCTTCCCATTGAGATTTAAGACTGCAATTGATCAGTCTGTTATTGGCATATGTGCATACTGTGTGTATGCCTCGATATTGCCTTAATTCACAAGTTTTTTTAACCAATGATGGATAATGACTAGCAGTGGAATCCAAGACGCGCGTTTCATCCTACTTGGGACCCGTCAGCTGGATGTACCTGCATCTCAGAGTTGATGTTCACTCGGGGACTCGAACCCAGTAACATTCGCCTCAAACGCCATCACGTTATCCACTCAGCTACTGAGTCCTGATAGCCACTTGCTTGTCCAATGGGGTGAATTTAAATTCACTTGGTATTGTTTTGGCTTGTATCTCCCCATTGAGACTTAAGACTGCAACTGATCAGTCTGCTAGCCACTATCCATCATTATTACACTATTAGTTTAAGCATTACTCTTATCTTGACTATCATAAATTTGAAGTAAGCTCTTTTATAAATTTTAAATGGAATTGAGTTTGTGAAGAGTAAGAGAAACATCGAGAAATTACTTCATGCAATAAAACATTTATAGACTACTAGTTATAACCATAACTATAGTATGTGTTGATTATATGACCGCCACTTATGTTATACATGTTTTTTTCGTAGTTATTTCTTATTCTGAATAATGGTAATATGAAAATGTAAGTAAAAATAATTTGTAAAATGAACACCAGAATTTTTAATAAATCTGTTTTTTTAGCACCCGATTATAACACAGCAAATAAAACTTTATTTATTTAATCAGACTGCACCACTACACATTTGGAAAAAATTGAGAATATTTTAGTAAATAAGCAACCACACATCCAAACAAACACGTCTACCGTCGACTAAAATGAAACCAACAGAAAAGTATGGCTTTTTATTTTAACACTCATCCATGATGTATCAATAAGTTGATAGAATGAATTAGATTATCTAATTTCCATAAGATGTTTACCACTGGTTTTTCACTTAAGAGACAGCTTTTGACTATCATATATTCCATTTCATATTCCCGCTCCTGCTTAGTGTAGAATTTATGAGGTTTTCTATGTTACCAGCATATCAGAACCTCTCAAAGAGTACTTAGTTTTAAGAAGATTAAAATAATTTACGGTTTATGAACAGAAACTTAATAAGATGAAGTGGAAATACACACTATTTGCGTTTTGTAATTGTACGTACTGATCATCAAAAATCCTAGATGGAATAATAGAATCCCTTGAAATGACTTATACACATATTCAGATATGCCTTAAATGACTTACTGATAACTACTAAGTGTTGATTGTGTATTCAAGTTAACGTCACAATATCCAGTGGACGTTTGGATCCCAAAACTGCTCTGCAGACCATTAACCACGAATGAGTTGGAGAAAATAAAGAGGTACTTTTCTTTGCTATGTTTGAAGAGATTACGAAATCAGCTGAAATCGGCGAACGGAACAAAGATTCAGAAAGACAACGAAAAAACTAGCTAAACTATTCACTGCGCCCCAGCCCTGATAACTAGAGAGAAGACCAGATTCGGCCGAGAGAAAAGTATATTCTACAAGCAGTCGAAAGCACGAACGAACAGACACACAACTCAAAAGTATATATACAGTATAAGAATGGTCATGGAAAACGTCAAAAAATAACGTATTAAAAGAGGGAACGAACCAATGACAATTTTGTTATCACACATAGTTATTACTTCATATTCATCAAAATAGTATACCAAAAGCTTCAAACTTAAACACTATTTAAAATCCCATTACCTTCCCAGTAAGGTGATAGAAGTCAAATTATCACGACTGACATACATACACACGACTTACACGTGCTGTTCCGTCGAGATGATGTCCACCAGGCAAGTGGGGTTGTGGTGATCGTTGACACTGATTTGGGTATGGGCGATCAAATCTTTGACGCTTAGGATCTGGTTCATTATTCCCAGGACCTGGAGGACGGTTGGAATGAGATCTATTGAAATGTTCGTTCCCATAAACATGTGATTGTGGGGCCCGATTGTGATGATTCATCTGTGTATTCTGGGAGCCACCAGCATGACTTCGAGCATGATGATTTGGATGTTGAGATGGGACTTGAGCTGCACTAGGATTTGTCGAACCGTACGGTCCTTTCTCTGTCTACGTTAAAAAGAGCAAAGTAAAATAGGCAGCCATTGGAAATCATTATAAGTAGCAATTCACTGAAATATCTGCCAGTCTCTAAATGATTTTACGTATTGGATTTTACATGTTACTGAAACGGTTAACTGGAACTTTTGGCGCAGTTTCAACTGAAATAAAGTTATTTTTGTGCTCTTCTGTTTAAGAAGTACTTTAATGTATTCTAGGAAAATACACAATTTCATAAATAAGTAGTTATAATTCAGCTAAGGCACCCTGGAACTATTTTAAAAGAAATTTGAGATTTGATAAAATGGTTCAATACTGATCAAGGTAGTACTTTTGGATATTCATTTTATCCTATTCTAAAATACCTTCCAATAAAATATGGATATAATGATTTGCCGTGCTATTTGGTCTATATTGATTAGTATCCTTTTATATATCTTTTTCATCGTTTACTTTATTTTTCTGGAGAGCTTCCAAGTACGAGTACCGGGAAAGATTTATCCTTGAGCGAGGTTACCACTTACTTGGAAAGTGAACATCTTAATGACTTTTACAGTGTTTATTTTTCACTTTTATTTTTATGAGCACATAAAGATTGGTGCTAGGAGACACCATAACATACATGGGCTACACAATAATAATGAGGTTGTGAAGAGATAGAAAAAAGATAGTGAATATGATAGAACAAGAGCACAAGTGAAATAATAATAATGGGAGTAATTTAGTCGTAGGAAATACCTAGGCAGACTGATTAAGTGCGGATTGCATGGCTTGGATATCGTCGCACAGTGAGAGAATATCATCCGCATACTCCGAAAAAATTTTCAGGCAGCAGATCCACACCACGATTACCAAAATCCACCAGAGCTGTTTCTAGAAAGTCATAGATGGCGAAACTGTAGAAAATGATGAGATTGAGCAACCCAACCTCACAGCTTGAATGAAACAATGGAAGAGTTTGCACATAGAGCTCTCAAGACGTTGATAAACTCCTCGAACACACCCTTCTTCAGTAGATGATATCAGAGAACAGTTCTATTCAACGAATCGAAGGCGCCCCTGAATTCAAGAAACACTACGATTGTTGGTCTGATATAAGTACGACAGTGTTCTAACATTTGGCGAAGATATGATAAAAACACTCTCGACTAGGACGAAAATCAATCTGCTACTTGCGAGTCAATCGTTCCTGGATCTTGAACAACCTACGAACTATGACGGAAACCAATAGTTTGGACACAATTGCTATACCCCCTTTTTGTGTTTGTACTGTCCTGTTTAATCTGATAAGGCACAAGCGATTGTCAACAATTATGCAGTCAAGGAGTGTATGTCCTACTCTCGAATCCAACGATCTACCTACACTTGAAAAACCACGAGTCACTAACGACTCTAAAGATGCACCGTACCTATTTCGTACACGGGGTGTATGAAGATAAGTGGATAATCACACTGAGATCTTGTACACCAGTTACAGATATACCACAATAAAATGAGCCTATTATCCTATTTGTCAGAGTCGAAACGGAAAGATTAAACACATATCATCGAGAGGTTTAGTGAAATTAGGGATAGCGATTAGTAAACGTGAATCATTAGCCCGATTGGACACGCGGCGAAAAAAAACTAGGTTGGAGTGAATTAATAGTACAAATAGAAATATAACAAAAAGAAGACCTTCGATGACGAACAAGATTAGCATGAGAACTGTAAGGAGTGTATTTTGCCGGCTGCCCAAACAGCCAAGGACACATCACTCTGGCGGATTGAGAAAAATAAACCAAGTTAGTAAATACAGCACTTGTTAACCTGAGAAAGTGACCACAAAACTTGAGGTTGGTTACATATGATCATTTTATGACTTGTTTTTGCTTTATCCCAGATTGACAACGTTAATTTTGTTATGTTCTGATAAGAATGGTAACTTTTGGGATCCATTTATGGACCAATAATATGCGTATATTTTTGTCGTATGATTGTTAAATAACTAAACTGTTCATATTCATGTACCCGATTTCAGGCTGGTTTGAATGAGCAATAGCGATACTAACCGGATGAATAAAGCGAAGCACATAAAGTGAGGTTTAAACATGTTAACTACTGGTTGAAAACGTCAAAGCCTAAATCATCAGTTGAGATGGTAGGAACTTGAAAAGCAGATGGTCATCAAGTTGGAATACCTCTCTAAGATACAACCTAATATATGGGTGATCCTAAATAATCGCATCAAACCAGTAACCACAATGTAGGGATGCTGTTTTAACGTTATAACTTTAAACTCAATTCTACAATACCACGATTTCAAGACTGTCTGACGATCTTTGTTTGTAGAAGTAGCATTACCAAGGCTACTTCTTGGAAATGTCACGAAATCTTTCCTTTCTAAGCTGAGGATGTGCAGGAATTGTGTTCGATTATCACCGTCCATGAAAGGTTGCATACAACAATGTGTAAATAATGCCAACGTTTAGCAGTATTCATATCCGTTAATAATAACTCGATAGGCATAAGTATTTAGAATACTAGATGGCTTGCGTATGTTTTACAAATGTTAACCTAGTGAATTCCACATTGAGTTTTTTTTACTCAACCTAGGTAGGAAAAGTGGGGCATGTCGGCTCTTAACAATACGTAGTGGTATAAAAGATAGATGTATAGAGCTTATTTCCTTCGGTTAGCCAAGAACTTCTGAGTGGAAGACTAACGACCATGCAACTGATTGGTTTGAGACGTGATTGGGCATGGGCTGAGAAAAGTTATCCTGTTGGAGCCTTTATAACATTCTAAAAGTAAAATGAACCCCTTATCGGAAAAAAACCCGTTTTAGCTGATCTCTTCAAGTGAATTAACTTTTTGCCAAATATTATTATGGATCATATTAAAGATGAAATCACCGTTCCCTCTCTCACAGTTGCACAGTACTGACTTTATCTGTGTACTACATTCATTTAGAATAGTTGTAACAGAAATTCTATGTTATAAATAAAGTCGTGAATAAGAATTCGCCACATGATCCCTCAACGGAACCTTTTAGCTTTAACGTTTTTCACCCGAAATGCAGCCGAGGGTGGTCAGTCAGTCAGTCAGGAACAACGTAGAACTTCGTACGTACGTACATCAGTTCGAGTTGCCACACCACATTAGCACAGAGATGCAGTTGTCGATTCAAATCCCGTAATCGTAGAGGTAGTAAGAGTATAAGCAGTAATCGGGAAGATTAGGGTTCGGAGATGTTATTTAAAGAGTATAATCCAGTGAAATAAATTTGGAAAGAGGAAAAAAGGGACATGAAGAATTCAGAAGATTAGAATTTGGGAGAACACAGAGAGTGGATGCACCTGCGCCATTGCAAACGATTTTGAGCCATGAGCCGAGGGTGGAGAGATCTCTCTCCCTCTTGAAATGCTCTCACATGGCCACTGTCAGGAAATTCCTGCTCATTGCCTTCTCGCGATGAGGGTGTTGTTTACGAAATTGAGAGAATGGAAAGCGAATGTCCGACGCTTCAACTGGGCGGTTTGAAAGCCGTGATTCCAAACCAATCGTGCACATGGGCTCCGGGATCCTGAAGGAACAAATGGAGTATGGACTTATTGTTGGTCACTGGCTGCCATGTGACCGCATCTTCTGACGCTGCTCCACTGCCTTGTGAACCAGACCTTAAGATCGAATGCTCCGGGCATGGCCCTCTAAGAAACCCATTTGCTTCGCTCTAAGCACCCGGTCAGTATCACAGCCCATACACAAATGAAGTGACTTGTATGGCCCATATGTATTCAGTGCCCCATTGTGCCAATATTTATATGTTCAAATAAATAAATAAACGCTTTTTGAAAGATATATTGGCTCTGTTCAAGTTCCAAGAAGCGTTGGTACCAGAACATTTTATCGTGACAAAATATTATATCAGAACTATTGTCAGAAATATCAAGCGGATTTATAACCAGCTACACCATCTCTAGTCATAAAATGATACTGATATCTGTTTGGTAATAAACGCGACAATGGAGATAGTATTCGCTAAAACTCAGTTTTTATGACGGTGATGTCCATCAATTTTATCAGCACTCACAAACGGGTTTCCAGTTGGAAAATGGTCACCTTGATAACTTATCTTTTTGATGATACAATCCGAAGATAGATACGCTTGAGTTGAATCAAATAAATACCACTGGTCACCCAATCTGAATGCAATACTATGATACCATTTTTCGTAAACAGGAGCTTCAAAAACGACTGAACAAATTAGATTACTCATTGAAACATTCGTAAAAGTATTATTTAGGACTTACTTTCCAAGAATCAGCCTTCTGCTGAGAATCAGGAACTGGTCTCCTCTGAGGCTCTTGAGTTCGAGGAGGATTATTGACAGGATCATCTTTTCGTTCTCTTTGTAACTTTCGGGACTAGATACTATATCTGAAGTAAAATGACTTACTCGAAGCGAACAGCGCAGTTGCTCTCTGATTTTTAAATCGCATTCTTGGAAAGTAAGGGTGAATTCGTCTGTTATTTTAGAGATCTCCTCAAAAGTCAGCATCGGGGAAAAAATATGGAACCAATCACCGTTTGACGACTGGATGTCTGTTCTATTCCACTTCGCCGCAATGTAAAGACTAGCAGCAGCAATCGCTTCTGCAGAATGTCGTAATACTAAAGTGGTGAGATGCAGTATATTAGTACAGACATAGTAGCTCGTATGAGCTATTTCCTTCGGGAATTTATTTGCGCGAATAGCCTTAATGAGTAGCACATGTGGTTGTTTGACTTCAAGAGTGTGAAACCCAATGACCATAAGAATAGTAGCCTCTAAAGCATGAACATTCTGAACGAGTCTCTTGAATGCATCTGACCCCTCATCAGGTGCCGGTCTCTTCAAAATATCATACGCAGCCTTGATCAAGAAAGATAGTTTCCTAGAAAATTCCTCTGTCTTGCATGCACAATAAAAGGCAGCTATTGCGACTAAAATCGGTTTGATAGTTTCTGGAGAGAAAACTTCGTAGAAGTAGTGCATGTAATATATGCCTGCATTTATGACCACCTGTGTTCTGTATGAAGCAGACAGGGATACACACTACTTCAGTAAAAACTTACGTTTGCAACCTTGACCCAATTTCCTGAATTAAACACGCACACTGCTGACGACGTGCCAAATGGAGACTACGTTCTACCTTGCATTGTTCCATTCCAGACGTTCGCGCCAAAACAAAGGTGGCCTTCAAATGGTTCAAATGGTTCTGGACGGAATAGAAGAAGCTTCAGCTTGACGGGCAATCCGTATCTAGTAGCAGTGGATCACATATACCTCCAGGCAAGAACCTACATATATTAATGATAAAGGCGGGAAAGGAAAAAAGGTTGATAAATCAGTAAGATACTGTATTTAGTCTTTAAGTATATGTCAAGTTTTTTCTTAAACGACTCATTTGAAGTCTCTTGGACTAGCTCATCCAGGAGCGAGTTTCAACATTTGGCCTCTCTTGAGGAGAAGAAGTTGCATCTACAGTCCGTTTTGCTATGTTGTGTCTCCGGTACCTGGGTGCTACCTCTAAGGCGTGTGTTGGGACTAAGCTTGGATGGGGGGTTTAATAGGACGTTGTGGTGTTTGAACGAACTAGTGATACCTTTGTACTTGTTGATTGCTCGATTTTGATCTCCAAATACAATACATTCGTTCGTGCTTGTGTAGTAGTTCTTGATTCGATTACGTTAATTCTGGGATTCCCAGTTCATACGATAATTCAAATACTTAGAAACATTATGGATGTTCAGAAGTGTTAAATATGCCGTAAGTCTTTAGGAAGTCACCTCTTAGACGCCTGTCTTCTAATGGGCAGAGGTTCAGCGATTGGAGGTACTCTTCATAAGACTTGAACATGAGTCCCAAACTGATTTCGTGTCTCGCTATTGGGTATGTTAAAGAGTGTCCTTATCCTTTTGGAGTGAGGAAGTAAATACTATGGTTCCGTACTGTAAATTGGGTCGAATAAAACTTTTGAAGATTAGGTGGAAAGTTTTTCCGTCTAACTGGCCGAAAATCGCTTCAACGTTACCACTGCAAGGTTTGCTCGGAAGGCACTTTGTTGCAGTTAGTGTAAGACTTCAGATCGTAGGGTACCAACACTTCTAGATCATCTTCAACCGGTAATATCTCTAGGGGGGAGTTATCTAAGTTTTAGTTGCAGTCTGCAACATGTCTCAGATAGACTACTTTACACCACGAAGTGTTAAAGTTAGAACCGCCGTCGTCTGCCCAGCCTTGAAGTCGAGTCAGATCCTCCTCAAGTGCTAGTCCACCCTCATGGTTGAACAATCCTCCTGAAAGCCTTCACATCATCAGTGGAGAGCAATAAGTCAGATGGCACTTGTTGTGTAAGATGGTTTATATAACTCAAGAACAGAAGACGTCTTAGTACTGAGCCCTGGGGGCCCCACTAGGACATTACATAGCCAGAGATAAAGTGAATTTAACCCTGACCTTAAAATGTCAATTTTTTAGATATGAAATGAGGCAATCAATTGAAGGTGATTTGACACCCAATAGTTTTAGCTTATTGATAAGACATATATGGTTGATCCCATCAAAAGCTTTCGCGAATTCAAAGTAAATGACAACAACCGCCCTCTTGCGATCAAAATGGTTGTCCGTCTGTCCACTGCGGTCAGCAGGTTGGTTATAGAAGAATTACTTCCTGAAAACACGCTGTTGGGGTGACAAGAAGTTAAAAGATAATAAATAGTCGTGCATACCAACGCGTATCAGGGACTCCATAATTTTTGAAGGTATAGAGGCAAAAGCCACCGGTCGGTAACTTGAAGGTTCGCTGAGTCGACCTCCTCTGTAAATTGGTGTGATGTGGGCCAGCTTCCGAATTTCCAGTAGTTTGCGTCGGCTTAGCGAGTGTGGGAACAGCATGCTAAGCAGCGTTGCCAAGGCTGAAGCTGCTTCCCTTAGTATATCAAAATCGACTATATCCGGACCAGAAGGTTTCTTTTTTCAGGTGCTGTACTTTCCGGTACATCGAGTCAGCGCTCAAATTCACTTTTGAAAGTCCCGTGGAGTTGCATGTGAATTTCTCATCAATGTAGTTAGTATAGGTCAGTCGAAATTTACGAGATTATTGTCCTGCCAGAGGGTTAGCAACGTCACCGTCGTTGTTGGGCGGACCGTTGGGACCTAGCGGTTGGGAAACTCCAGTTTTGGCTTGACGAAGAGAGGCTGCATAACGGAATAAGCTTTTCGGATTGGGGGCAAATTTATCTTTAAGCTTTATCTGGTAGTGAATTCTGTTTTATCTTTTCAAATAATCCCTGAGCTTTAATGAGGTTTAAGAAGCGAGCTCCAGTAGTTTTCACCTCCGATTTACGTATGTTCAGCGAAATGGACTCAAGGAAGGTTGAAATCTACGAGAATCACGATATGTGTGAATCGGAAACGAGTAGAGCGGGATAATCCTTCTGGCATACGATTGTCTTACTCCATGTCAGCGATGGGCTTCCTTTAAATAACACCAACAAAACACATTGAGTTGGTTAACAGTCTTACAGAACACCATACGAATTCATCAAGATTGATAAACTCTTGGTTGTACAATTGATGTACGTGTAGAACTATGGTCTACTATGATATTAGTATTGCTCTAATAATAGACCTAATCCTAAATTTGTAGATTTGTCATGATATAACTGCCTAATCTATAAGATCTTACGTGGAAGTCACACCATCGACTATGTAACAGCTCAGGTTGGTTGGTTAAGAGTTGACCCCAAACAACCAAGCTTATGCCAAAACAGTATTGTTCAAGTATTCATTCACTTCCTTATTTTTCATAAGCGTTATATTCCCTATTATCTTGAATGTTGAGAGCCTTTGTTTGTCTGAACAGATAATCCCACGCTCCACTGCGACTGCGCGAAGATCGAAATAAAGACCTATTCACTACTTCCTGGT